GGAATATAAATACTCTGAAAACAGCAACCATTCCCACTGAGTTGAAGGAGAATTTCTCTCAACAGTTTGATTATTTGAGACTCTTGCTGCATAAAAGCTTCTGCTTCTATCTCATTAATGTCAGTTGTCCATGGGCAAGCATCTACTTTTTAGTAAAGAAGCTCTGAATTTAGACTTCTTTTCCTCTCTGGAGGAGAATTTCAGTAATTATGGCTCAGTGCTTTTGTTTTGTTTTGTTTTATTTGCGTTTGTGCCAAAGGAAAAAATACAGTGGTAGTTTCAATTGCCTACATAAAACAAAGAACTTCAATATCCAGTAGTTACTTCTATTGACTTATCAATCATACGTGAAATTCTGGCTTCTAAAAGACAGCACATATAAACTATTCATCATTCTGTGAGAACAAGAGTGATCAGCTTATGAACTGGAAGCACAGTTTGGTGGCATAACTTTATTCGGGGGAAAGAAAACCAACTATAAGATTAATGCAAAGCTTTCAATCTGATCAAGTTTAAAAGAGAAGAGGCTTACAAAATATGAATGAATTTTTAGCAATTATAAAACTATTTTGAGTCAAGAATAATTCTTRCTGATTATAGTTTCTCCCAGTCTAAATTTGATTTTATGGTAGAGAAATCAAAAGTAAATTTTCTCTGAGTAAATCTTGCTCAAAACTCTCTACAGGTACGAGAGGGTCATATGAGTTCCCCATCTATTGCTGTCAAAAAATATATTGCTCCTTCTTGAGAAGACAAGTTTGAAAATRAGAATTTTAAAAGGTCTTGGGATCTAAAAGAGTAAATACAAGAATCTTGGATAGAACAAGAATTTAAATCTTACATTTTATACCAATCACTTGGTCATGGGAATCTTACTGAACCTATGATACAAAAAAATCAGTTATTGCCTATGTGGCTGAATATGAATGAGTTAATTCACAGAACTTGAGATAGATTTGGACAGTCTTGAGTTTGAGTTTCARGGGTTAGTATTGTACCAGAGGTTATTTTGGTATTTAAGCCTGAGTGAGSTATACTCAAAAGCAAAGAGGGTTGATGTGAAGGGTAAGTCAGAGGGAAGAAATTGGTTGTGCCTGGGAGGATGCACATTGCCTTGGTTAGCTTCCCRGACCTATTTTTGTTTCATGCATTCCTTCTTCTAGGAAACTGATTTCCAGTCTCCTTCCATTTGTGAACCTATCAACTGCTTTTTCTTAAGAGCATGGGCATGTGTAAGAAAAACAGGTTGAGAAAATCAGATCAATTGAGAAGTTGCCTTTGGCAGACTAATCAGAAACAGCACTGGTACAACAGGTTACTAAGCCTGTGCATTGTTCATCTTTCTTTAGTTCATGTATCTTTTTTTTTTTTTTTTTTTTTTNTTTTTTTTTTTTTTTTTTTCCAATTACTCACTGCCAGGAGGTTTAGTGCTGTAAAGTTGCAAGATTTTTTTGGCATGCTGTCTTCTACCATCACTCTGTCAGTTTTACCCATTGGATTCCCCACCCTCAGCTCTCAAAGTGCTTTGGTGTGAGGAAAGGAGCATTATACACATACTAATRGCAGGAGACAATAACCAAAATAACTTGCCCTGTCATCCAGTAAATCAGGGAGAAAGCCTGGAACAGAATAGTGATTCCTTCTCTCATGTTTCTGTACCTTAAGGCTTCAGTTCAATGGCCACAAGCAAAGACTCTAAACAAATTAGATTGGTGTTCATCTCTTCAGTTGTCAATTAACCTGCTGASATGTGTCAAAGGATTAGCTAGGTGTATGTAGTGAGAGAGGAGCTCTGAAGACCCTTTCTCATGGATATTTGTGAATTTTAAAAAAAGGAAAAAAGGTAAAGATTGTGTTCTKGTCAAAATTTTTAAAGTAAGTCTGTGTTTCACTATCATGAAACAGAGGCAAAATTGCAATTTCATGCTCTTAATTCAAAGCTTGAAAACTGGACTGAAGAAACACTGGTATTTGTGCAGTTTACCTGAGAAACTCAAAGGAAAGAAGGAATGGAGGAGAGGAAGCAGAAGTGAGTGTCCATAGGAGAGCTGGTTAGATAACAGGCCCCCTTGAGTCCTTGCCCCATGGGCTGTGCTTTGCCTTTCAGAAAAAGTGCGAAGCCCAGATTGATCCAGCAGCCAGCACCCAGTTGTTGCCCATTGGTGTCCATTTGTACCTCTRTGTTGCTAAAAAGTGAATTGAAAACGATGCTATGGGGCCTTTTCAGATTAACATGAAGAGCTCTTCCCAGGAGAGAKCATGTTCTTCACGAGTGTGTCATGTGCCTCTAACACAGCTTGGGAACTGGCTTTGTTCCACCATCCTTATGTATCCAGAAGTGTGTCTGCTTTGCCATCAGCTGCCTGAGTCCCTTTTTGTTCCCTTCTGATCCTGTAGGGAGCTTATCAGCACCAGGTCTGTGTGCGTTGCAGTGGTGCAACAGCTTGTTCAGGATGTTGTTATAATTATGGTGCTGCCACAAAACACTGATTCATATCTGCGCTGTTTACAGGCCTCTGACAATGCTATTAGTTCAGTACATAATTTAGCAGTAAATTAATAAAGAGGCATTCACCCTATTAGGCAAAACATACTTGCTTTGCAGACAGTCATAAATTAGATCATGAATTATTGACTGTTCGCTCTGTCCTGGTTTGTGTTAGGAAGTTTGATCTTATTAACTCTGYTTGTCTGTGTAGCTGTGTGTATCATATTTTGTGCTACTGTGGAATTTAAAAAAAAATAATTACCATGGGGGATCTGCATGAAAAAAGGCAGGTCACAAAATCAAAATCTGATTTTCATACATTATTTTCAAAGTTAAACATGTCTTACCATGGCTCACATTTAAATTAACAACTTACGTGTCTTATCATCAACGGAATATTTGATCACATATTTTTGTTCTGTGTTTCCTGCACCACTTCATTTTTCTTTGGCTGAGTCCTTCTTTCTCTCCTTTTTCTTATGTGAAGTTTGCATCCTTTGTTCAGTATTGCAGATCCCCAATGTGTCCMTGGATTGGATTACACTGTGTTATTTATCCTTATTAATATTCTGCTTTTCCTAATTTGAAAATAAGGTGGTAGGCTGTAAAAATTCTTTCATGAGACGCAAGGAAAGTAAAATTATGTTTTAACAGCTGAATGCCAGGCAAAGGGAATAGAATTTAATGAGTAATAAAAGTTGCATCTCTGGCTTGTGGTATTTGAAACTGATCAATTTTAGGAACCTCTTTATAGACATCAGAATGGACAGTTTTATAGAAATTTTCTTTTGTAACACAAAGCATCAGTACCTTCCCGTGTAGGTTTCTGAGCTTTTTTCCTCTAATTGAATTCCACTGCTGGTGACTAACACTTAAGTAAATTAGCATGATACTGGGACTCTAGCTTACATAACACCCTTTGCACYAGAGATGCCATGCAATGGTGCTGAACTGGTTAACAGTTCTGTCTCCAAAGAGTTYCTTTACTACCCATCCCGCCTGAAATTAGTCGCCCCAGAGTACTGCAGTAGCAAACAGCACCATGCAGCCAAATCCAAGTGATTATTTCATCAACATGCTTGCACTGAGATTTATTTGGAGTAAGAAGCTTTCTGTGGTTGCATACCTTAGAAATCATCAGCTTTCTGTGGACTATTATTCAAGGAAAAAATATTTCACATCTTTTCCTGTACTCAACAGGTATAACCCTCTGGGTACAATTGAATTTTTTGTTTCTTCCAATTTCCGCAAAACCCGAGAATAAGCTTTTAGATGAAAAATAAACTGATTTGAAAGACCATTAAAAAAAAATAGTTCCTTTTAAGCAGCAAAGATCTGATTTTAAAACTTCTATGAAAAAACTTGATCAGCTCCTTGTTTCTGACAACCAAAAGCATTAGTGCATGGTGAGACAGTTCATACACTGTCAAAATTCCTGGCTGTGGTTTGTGTAAACAATCTGGACTTTCAGAGTTTAGCCAAGCCGTATTTCCTGGCAGTACGTCATCATTGTTGTTACACTCCTTGCTCCACTTTTACAGCAGCTATTAGAGCAGGGATTTTAAATTTATTTTGTGGCAGCTTCTGAGTGTTAATATCAAACCTGCCAGATGTAGCAATMCTTTGTTTCGATGTGCTGCTCATGTCATGCCATCTTGTGTGTTACTCAGAATTGTAGCAGCACAAACAAAACGCTTTGGGTTTTTTCTCTATGGGATACCTATTTGCACTCTGCTCTGTGCTGCAGCTATGCTGCATGCAGCCTAATGCTGCTGATTCTCTGAAGCTGGTGGAGTTTCTTACTGAACTTGAATAACGTGTTTCCTCATCCTCCATTCGTTTTTAGGCTGCACCGATGCTGGGAATAGCTATTCCGATCACGCCAAAGCAGGAGGGAGRGTTTTCTGCTTGTTGGTGCAAGCGCGGGGATGGCAGGGCTGCTTCGTTTTGCGCTCAACTTGCTGGGCCTGATCTTTGGCAACACTTTTCTTCTTTTGTGCTCGAGTTTCCCATTTGTAAAATGGATACAGTGATCATTATCTTTGCCTCACGGGGGTTGTTGTGAAGCTAAAACGAGTTCATATTTGCAAAGCCCTTTGAGAGCTCCAGATGAAAAGTACTTGTAAAAATCCAGAACCTGGGATTGCCTCCTGGGTTATCTGTTGTAACTGGTTTTCCTGCACAAACCTGAACGCGCTGCGGACGGTGCTGCTGTCAGCTGGGAGGATTTGAACCTGGGCTGAGGAACAGCTGAGCAGCTCAGTGCCTTCAGCAGGCARAGCACACCTCGGTGCCAGGTCAGTGACTCGGCCGTCCCTTGGGTGGACAGGCCACAGCCGGGCCCAGGCTGGTGACATTGCTGGGCTCCGGGCCTGGCAGCCCTGTGGCACTGGGGACAGCGCCGGGCTCCCGGGGTAAGTCAGGGCTGYGAAGCTGGAGCTGTCCCTGCCCTCCACCACACCTACAGCGCCTGGCCCGGGGCGCTTTCCAGTACCTGTCAAGCAGCCCTGCAGCTGGGAGGAGTTTGGCTGCTTCCTGATGCCCTCATTCATCCCAGGCTTTACWGAGATTTGTTTTCTTTGCCTTCCCTTTATCCCAACACCTTCTCCTCGCAACACCCCACAGCCACCTACACCTCCCGGTGCTCATCCTTCGCCTCTCCACTGTTCCGCTTGTGCCTCAGCTGTGGACGGGCATGACTCCTTGTGCTGTGAGCAGCAGTTTCTCTTCTGGCCATCATTAGAGGCTGCCAGAGCCGCCCGGATCGAGCCGAGCTGCCAGCAGGGCTGGATGCACTGGGAATTCCAGCACTCGGTTGCTAGTGGGAGTAGTTTCTGAAGGAAAGCATCGTTCATGGCAGTGGCAGGAGACGAGACCCAGAGACACTGAGGATAACTTGGGAGCTAGAACGGACGGAGGAATGGAAAAATGTGGTAAGAGCAAAGGATACCAAAACTGAGGATTGAGCTGGTTGAGAAATAGAGAGGGAGAAGAAATGCAGGGTGGGAGAGTATTTTGGGTGTGGGGAATAGAGAAAGTAGATATTAGTTCCTAAAGATCTTGCAAGAGGAATTTATTACAAGTTTGAGCCCGTTTCATGGACGGCTTATGGAGCCCCTGCCAGCCTCAGCATCCCGCCCACCCTCTGCATGCCCCCTCCTCTTCCTGCCCATGTTTCCCTGTCYGCTTCCTCAGCCATCCCCTTACTGCCATGACCTCGCCATCAAAC